GGTGGGCGTGGCCGCCGCGCGCCCCGCCCCCTCCAAGATGGCGGCTGCGCCCGGGCTCGGTTGCGGCCTGTGCTGCAGGTAGCGGCGGAGGAGCCGAGCGGGCGGCCGGGCGAGGCGGCGGCGGCGCGGCCATGCACTTCTCCATCCCGGAGACCGAGACCCGTGCCGCGGACGGCGGCGGCGGCGGCGGCGGCGCAGCCTACGTGGTGGGTGCTGGGCGGAAGGGAGCCCCGCGGGCGGAGCGGAGGCTCCCCGGAACCCGCCCTGGGAAAGGGGCCCTCGGCTCCGCGGGTGCCTGGGCTGCCCAGGGCGCCGCTCTCGCTCCCGCGCTCCGTCAACGCCTCCGGCGGCCTGAGGCGGAGCTGGGGGGCCTCCGCTCGGCGGCCGCATTCAGGACGCGCCCCCGCTCGCCCAGGGCTCGGGCCCGCCCTCCGGGGGGCGCCGGTTCTGCCGGCAGACGCGGCCCCAGAAGTTCCTGCAGGCCGCCCCTCCGGATGTCCCCGGGAGGCCCGGGCAGGAGCACGGCGGGCCGCGCGGATCCCGGCCGCTTGCCCTGCGCGGTGGTGGCCTCCCGCCACGGCCCCTCCCGCCCTGCCCGTGGCGGCTCAAAGGCCCCTGTGCCTGCGCGCAAGACCCTTGCCCCCCTTGGCTGCCGGCGCCACTCGGTGGCGGTGGCCTTGCCGCGGGGCTGCGTTCTGGCCCAGCGCCCCCCCCCCGCTTTCTCTGCCCAGGCGGCCGAGGTGGGGAGGGCGGCTGCCATGCCCCCGCTTGTTGTTGGATCCGAAACGGGGCGCAGTGGGGTGCTGAGACTGTCGAGGGGCCGTGTTCCTTGCTCTTTCTGGAACTTCAGCATGCCCCGCAGCCGGGGCCTGCAGCCTTGGGCCACACGAGAGGAACTCCCTTCTGCCGCGCCAGTGCAGCTCCTCCTGCCTCCGCCCCGTCATCGCGTCCTCCCCCCTGCCAACGCTGCCTTCTGTCCCCGCAACAGGCCTACAGCGTCCATGTGAACGGGGTTCTGCATTGTCAAGTGCGCTACAGCCAGCTCCTGGGCCTGCACGAACAGGTGAGAAGCTGGGCCACCGGCTGTCCTCGCCGATGCCTGGTGGGAGGTCCTCCGCCTGCTTCCCTCCTCCAGCGCGTGTTTGGCGTTTGTCCCGCACTGACTCATGAGGGGGCTGCGGGGCCTTGACTGCGGCGGCGGCAGCCTTGCTTCCCGCAGGCCTGCGCGATGAAGACAAGTGGTGCTTTCCTTCCCACAGCTAAGGAAGGAATATGGTGCTAACGTGGTACCCGCCTTTCCTCCAAAGAAGATCTTTGCTCTCACGCCAGTGGAGGTGGAGCAGCGGCGGGAGCAGCTGGAGAGGTACATGCAGGCTGGTGAGTTTTCAGGAACGCTGTGAGGGAGGGAGCGGGTGCTCCACGGTGGGCTGACTGGCAGGCGAGTGCGAAAGCCCCCCGGGCTGAGAGTGCTGTTCCTTGTTGGCCCACAGTACGCCAGGATCCCTTACTGGGAAGCAGCGAGATCTTCAACAGCTTTTTGCGCAAAGCCCAGCAGGTAAGATGGGGGGCACCTGGCAGTGGGAGGATGGGGGGGGCGGCAGGGATAGCCGTGCTGACTGCAGCTGTGTGTCCCCCCAGGAGACGCAGCAGATCCCCACTGAGGAGGCGCACCTGGAAGTGATGTTGTCCAATGGGCAGAAGGTGACGGTCAGCATCCTCACCTCAGACCAGACGGAGGATGTCCTGGAGGTGAACAGTCGCAGGGCAGCGGTGGCGGCAGCTCCCCATATGTCACGTTGGGGGGCTGCTCGTTCTCTGTTTTGTTTAAGATAAGATATAGAAATGTAGAAACAGAGCAAGTCAGAAGGGGCCTCCCAGGCCATCTAGTCTGATCTCTGGCACCAATCGGCTCCGCTCACGGCATGCCCACCGTGTGCATGTCCAGCCTAAGACATGGAGACACATTTTTCCTTCCCGAGGATGGAGGGACGGGGAAGGTCTGTTGAGGCTACCTGTGGAGGCTTTCTCTCATGCAGCAGGCAGGCGGACGTGCCTCAGCCCCCGCTGGAGGGAGAATTCCGCTTTGGTGACCTTTCCCCACCTCTGCATTGTTCACAGGCTGTGGCCTCGAAGCTCGATCTGCCGGAGGACTTGATCGGCTACTTCCATCTCTTCCTGGTGCGAGAAGCAAAGGACGGAGCCTTTTCCTGTGAGTGCCTGACCCTCCCAAGACCTTGCTGTAATCCCAGGGAGCCCAGGCTGCCAGCTGGGCTCTGGAAATGGGGCCGTCAGAAGCAGCATGTGGTGGGAGGGCAGGCAGGCAGGCTGCTTCTGAATTGCTGCCTCTTCCAGTCATCCGGAAGCTGCAAGAGTTCGAGCTGCCGTATGTTTCAGTCACCAGCCTCCGCAACCCTGAGTACAAGATCCTTTTCCGGAAGAGGTGAGTGTGGGGCCCGGGGGTGGGGGGAGCAGTTGGCACTGGCTGTGGCTAGATTAGGGCCTGATGAATTCCATCTGACATGGGTCTCTACCCCCCTTACCAGCTACTGGGACTCCGCCTACGATGAAGATGTCATGGAGCAGCGGGTGGGACTGAATCTGCTGTATGCCCAGGTGCGTGACGGGCCGGGTGCCAAGCCCCTGTGGAGCTGAGGGAGGAGGAGGAGGAGCGGGGGGCTGGGTTGGAAAACGGCACCCATTTGTCACTGCCCTCTCCCTTTGTTGTCCCTGCACAGACCGTTGCAGACATTGAGCGGGGCTGGATCCTGGCCAACAAGGAGCAGCACCGTCAGCTGAAGTCCCTGCAGGAGAAGGTCTCCAAGAAGGAGGTGGGCCGACTCATTTGACAGCCTGGGGCCGTGGAGCCTCGCTGGTGGCCAAGGGGGCAGCTCCTCGTGGAAGACAGAAGGGCCCGGGGGCTCCCGTGCTCATGCCCTGTCTTGTTCCTTGCGACAGTTCATCCGCTTGGCACAGACTCTCAAGTATTACGGCTATCTCAAGTTCGACCCGTGCATCACAGACTTCCCCGAGAAGGGCTGCCACGTCATTGTTGGCGCAGGGAACAGTGAGCTGAACTTCCAGGTCAAGTTGCCCAATGACCAGATCAAGGAGGGGAGTTTCAAGGTGACCCGCATGCGCTGCTGGCGGGTTACTTCCTCTGTGAGTGAACCTGGGGAGATCATGCCGGGAGTTCAAGCAGGTCCTAGCTTTTCTTGCAGTGAATGGGCTGCGCGGGGCAGCTGGGCAGGTCAGCAAGCCGGGGTCTTGTGTGTGCAGAGCAGGAATCTCTCCCCCGCGCCCCCCAATCCTTACCTGTCCCCAAATTCCCCTGCCCCCACTTCCAGCACGCGGGCGTCAGTCTGCCTCCCTGCTTTTCCAGGTTCCTGTGCATAATGGGACATCTGGCGCCCCTGCTGGCAAGTCAGAGGTGAAGCTGGAACTTGCCTTTGAGTACCTGATGAGCAAGGACCGCCTGCAGTGGGTTACCATCACCAGCCCCCAGGTAGGCCGGGTCACACGCTGGTGCTCTTGGCCTGCTCCTCACCAGCGGACCGATCTGCTGGAGCAAGCGCCCTCATCCAGTGCAGTGCATCACAGTGCATCCCTGCTCGACAGCAAATGTTTTATGTAAATAGTGCTCTTCTAATAGTTCTCCAATGTAAATAATCTAAATTTCATTTTGGTTTTGCTGATCATAACTTTGTTGCTAAATATGGATTTTTCCTTTTAAAGTTTACAAAATCAAGGCTCCTGAACTGAGGAGTTTCGGTACAGCCTGAAGTGTCTGATCCTGCCTAATCTTGGAAGCTAAGCTGCCTAGGGACTTTTAAAGTATTTGGCAGCATATAAATGGTAATGGAAATAATACTTAAATAAGCAGGATTGTGCCTGGTTGAAATCTGGTCACTTAAATGCCATAAACTGCCTAGACGGCAGGCGTCCACTGTGGGCTGTAGAGAAATGTAATGTAACGTAACGTGCCGTAACGATACTGACACTGGATACCGATGTGTAGCGATGTGTAACGATACCGACACACGAGCACCTCCCTTCTTTCCCTCAGGCCATAATGCTGAGCATCTGCTTGCAGTCTATGGTGGATGAGCTGATGGTGAAGAAGTCGGGAGGCAGCATCCGCAAGGTAAAGCTCAGGCTAGCGGGAGCCCTCAGTCAAGGGTGCCTGGGGCACCTCCAGAAGAGACCCGTGAGCACCTCTGCCCTCTTCCTTTCCCTTCCAGATGTTTCGCAGGCGAGCCAACGGACCCCTGCAGCAGCCAGGCAGCCAGCAGGCAGCGAAGTCTCCCCCTCTTCTGGTAAGTGAGCCCAGCCACGCTTTGCCCCGGTTGCTGCCCCCGTTTGCACAGCCTGTTTGTCCTAACATACTTGCCCTTCCTGCCAGGATTCTCCCGATACCAGCAGGGAATCCATTGCCAAGGTCTCGGTGAGTTACCGCACTTCATCCCCCACCCCGCGATGATGGGGGCAGGAGGCGGGGGCCCCTGTGCGGGCTCCGCTCATTCCTGCCTCTCTTCTCCCCCACCCAGAGCAAACTCAGCTCGGTCAGCCTGCGGGCCATCAGCCATTCCAGCTCCTCTGCGGATACTGGGGCCAACGATTTCCATGGCAACTATGCCTTCGAGGGCATTGGTGATGAGGACCTCTAGCCGCCCTGCCCTGACACAGCATCGTGGAATGTCCGATCGCCTCCTGGTTGATCTCCATGTGCCTCAACCCCAGCCCGTCCCGCCGCCCATCAGCAGGCAGGCGAGGCAGCAGCTGGCGGCTTCAGCTCCATCCATGCCAAGCTAGGGTAGTGGACTTTCAGGCCACAAGCAAGCATCGCTCAGGCCCTTCCCACAGACTCCTGCGTAACTGCCAGGCTTGTAATCTTGTTTCTCTTCCTGCCGTTTACAGCTGAACATTAACGACTGTGTGTGATAACGGTTGAATAGATCATGACTGGGAATAGGTACTGCTTTCCAAGCTCTCATCAAGAAAATGACATAACTATACCAGCCCGGGCACCCCAAATAAAAACCTTTTCCTTTGGAGGGAATATGTCTTTGTCTAAGCCGCAAGGGCAAAAGTTGCAGGCCTCGAGAGGAAGCGACAGTGGCTGGAGCAGTGCAGGTTCCCCCGCTCCGGAACACAAATCTCTGTCTTGCGACAGAGCAAGGCTGCAGGCGTGCCAAGCAGTGGTGTGTCAGGGTTTTCTCCCCTGCCCAGTTGTTGCCCCCAGCCAAAATAAAGCAAGATAAGAAAACAATTTAATGCATTAATACACCATATAAATTACACAGACTCAAGCAGCAACCACAGTTAAAGAACAGGAGGAGAAAAGAAGGCAGGCGAGCACCATGGACTTCCTTCTGCGGGTTTCCACTGTCCCACAGGGCGGTAGACAGAGGCTCCCTCATGCGGAGTGCAAGGGGCCTGATGGTCAAGAGCGGAAGACGCTTGCTCCTTCCTGTGTTCCTCAGTGTCGGGCAGGGCACAGCCCAAGATGCCTTTCAGTCAAAAGTCCCCTTCCAGAGGAGCTGCCCCGACAGGAACACGCAGCTGCTGCTCCTGGGGACCCGTCACGGCAGCAGGCACCTGCTGCCAAGAGCACCACGAGGCACCGGGGGGTTCCGTGCCCTGCTAGGGCAGGCTGCCTTCTGGGCCAGAGCCCGCTTCCTCAGCCAGGCCCTGGCCGTGCACCTTCTGGTGGCGCTTGTAGTTGTCCCAGTGGCCGGTGGTGTATGGGCAGATGCGGCACTGGAAGGGCTTCTCCCCCGTGTGCCGCAGCATGTGCCGCTTGAGGTTCATGCTCTGGTTGCAAGAGTAGGGACAGAGGCGGCAACGGAAGGGCTTGTCCCCCGAGTGGATGCGACCGTGGCGCTTCAGGTTGGCCAGGTTGCCGCAGGCGTACGGGCACAGGGGGCACTTGTAGGGCTTCTCGCCCGTGTGCACACGCTGGTGGCGCTTGAGGTTGTCCAGGTGGGCCGACGCGTACGGGCACAGGGCACAGGCAAAGGGCTTTTCTCCGCTGTGTGTCTTCATGTGGCGGGCAAGGTGGTTTGGATAGGTGGTCACAAAGGGGCACAACTGGCACGAGAAGCCCTTGGGCGACGCCGGTTCAGCCCCCAGCACAGCCAGGCTGCAGCGCCCACATACAGGCTCTCCCAGGCCCTCATCTGCCTCCAGCACCAGCCCACAGGTCCGGCATGTGAACGGGAAGAGCAGCTCGGGGAGAACAGGGCCAGAGTCTTCGGGGCGCAGAAATGGGGAGCTGGACAGCAGTGGTGGAGGTGGCGGTAGCAGCAGCTCTGTGGGAAAAAGGGCCAGTAAGCAGTCAGAAATATTGCCCTGTGCAGCTTTTGCCTGGGCCCTGGCGGAACCTGTCTCTGGCACATTCACCCCATGTCTGTCCCTGGACCCCAAAGGGCCCTAGGCATGCTGTCGGATGTCGGATGTCGGATGGGGGCAGTTCTGGGAACTGCAGACACATCACAAGAAGGCAAGATTCAGATGAGAAGATAATCATGCTACGGAAAATTGAAGGCAGAAATGGCGGAAGACCAAATATGCAATGGATTGATACCATAAAAGAAGCCACAACCTTGTGCTTAAAAGAACACTGTAGGGCTACCAAGGGCAGGCCATTTTGGACAACACTCATCAATAGGCTTACAGTAAGATGATGGCGTATGACAACAGGCTAGAAGCTGGGAGGGGGGATGAGCCCACAGCTACAGAGAAACTAATCCTGTCTCCTTGTCTCTCAAGTACCTGCCTTTGCTTGGGAATATAGATCTATTCCAGTGGGGAAACCACGAGAACAGCTTCCGGGCGAGGCTCCAGAAACAACGTCATCTCCACAAAATCTTCAGGATTACAACGCCCAAAAATCCCAACCACACCACCTAAAGAAGACCAGATTGCTTACCCCAGCAGAAAGCTTTTGCTATACACAAAAGTTGTGCAGGCAGCACCACATACCTGCCTCCGGGTCTGCAACGTGGGGCCCCTCCATCTCTGCCTCCGACTCCCCCGGGGTCCCTGTGGCGCTGTGGGGCTGCAGGGGGTTGTCGTGGGCACAGCGGCAGCTGCAGGAGCTGCAGCGCAGTGGACGCTCCTGGCCGTGGACCCGCTGGTGCCTCTTGAGGTTGCCCAGGCTGCTGCATGCGAAGGGACAGCTGGGGCAGCGGTAAGGCTTCTCGCCAGTGTGGGTGCGCAGGTGGCGTGTCAGGTTGACTAGCTGAGCTGAGGCATAGGGGCAGTGAGGGCAGCGGTACGGCTTGTCCCCGTTGTGAGTCTTCATGTGCCGCTTGAGGTGGCTGGAGTAGTGTGAGGCAAAGGGACACAGCTGGCAGGAGAAGACCACGCGTGGCCCCAGGGGGGGGCCCTCCTCGTCCCTTGTCCCCGGGGGGCAGCATGGGATCGGGCCAGGGGCAGGCAAGCCACAGTGCTGGCAGGCCTGGCCTGCCCCTGCCTCACTCTCACCGCTGCCACCCTCTTCCTCGTCCGGGGCCCGGCCCAGAGGTGGGAACTCCTCCTCATCGCTCAGAGCGTAGGCGGGCAGCCTGCCAGGCGTTCCCCCGAAGGAGTCTGCAGCACACAAGGAGGGGGCATCAGGTGGGCGTCTGGGGGGTCCTCACCTTGACCTCTCCCTTTCCTGCTGGTACAATAGGGGGTTACGGCGTGGGCGAACTATGCTCCGACACCCCGCCGCACAGCAAAGGGAGCCCAACCTGGCAACCCACCGCAGGCGCCCCCGCCCCCCAGAAACCGGCGCCACCCAGCACAGCGCCGGGCAGAGGCAGCACAGCTGGGCCCCCAGCAGCCCAGAGGCGGCGTCCCGCCCCCCGCCCGTCCCACCTTCCGAGTCCTTCTCGAAGGCCAAGATCGGGCCGCCGCTCTCGTCGCCGCCCGCGCCGCCGCCGTCCTCGTCCTCGTCCTCCTCTTCCTCCTCCTCCTCCTCCAGCTCGAGAGCCAGATCAGGCTTCAAAAGGAATCTGCTGTCCGCCGGCGACGGCACCGGAGGCGCCGCCGCCGCGCTCTCCTCTCCCGGAGGCTCGGCCGGAGCGCCTGCAGCGTCCACTGCAACAGACAGACCGAGGGAGCAGGGGAATCAAGGCCTTCCGCCAGGCCCCCAGCCGGAGAACAAGCCCCCGCCCCGCCCCGGCCCGCACGGGGCCACGGGCGGCCCGTCGAGAGGAAGGAGGCGGGCCCGGCCCGGCCGAACAGGCGGCGAGCGGGAGCTGCGGGCCCGGCGCGAACGGCTCAGGGCCTGGGCCAGGGCGCCGCGCGGCGGGGCCAGCGTCCCGAACGGCCGGGCCTGGGGCGGCTGGCGCGGGCCGGGGCGGAGGGCAGCGCTGACCTTTGACGGGCTGCGGGTGGCGCTGCTTCCGGCGGGGCATCTCGTCCGGCGGCGGCGGCGGCGGCGCCGGGCGCCCCGCGAGGCTGCTCAGCACCCCGGGCCTGGGCCTGGGCCTGCGCCGCCACCGGCACCTCCTCCTCCGCGACGCCCCGACAGCCGCCGCCGCCGCCGCTCCTCCCGGCGCTCCCGCCCATCCGCGGGGCGGGCGACCAGAGCTCCAGGCGCTTCCGGTTCCGGCCCCGCCCGCAGAGCATGACGGGAGCGGGCGCCCCCGCCCCCGCCCCCGCGAGGCACAAAGGCGGCGGCGCGGCATCTCTCGTGCGCGGCCGCCGGAGCCGCCTGCAGCCCGCGGGGGGCGGGGGGCG